GGACCGGCACCGGGACCGCGGGTCCGGTTCGGGCCCAGCCCCACAGGTAACCGACCCCTCGGCAGCCCCGCCCCTGCCCACCCCGGGGCTGCGCTGCGGCGGGGCGGGGCTTTGGGTTGGAAAACATAAATTCTGGCTCTGGAGGGGCCCGTGGGCTCCCGCCGGGGCTGCGGGGCTCGCCCTCCCGTGAGCGGTCGGTGTGCCGTGGCTGTGCTGGGCCTGCCGTGTGCCGCCGGGCCTGCCGTGTGCCGCCCTTCAGGGACTGTCGAGCGGCCATCCGTGAGTTGCGGCCGGAGGCGCTGCCCGAGCTGGGGGTGCTCCGGGGTGCCGCTCCCGCCCCGGTGCCGCTGCCGGCGCAGGCAGCGTCCAGCGCCCTTCCAGCTCACAGTTAGAACTCTCCCCTGGCTCTCCTGTGTGACCGTCTCCTCTGATTTCCCCACGATTCCAGGCTTTCTGCATTTAGGTGGCCTTAGGACAGCTTTGTACAATTATATCTTTGCCAAAAAACACCAAGGGACCTTTATTCTGAGAGTGGAGGATACAGATCAGAATCGAGTGGTGCCTGGAGCCGCAGAAGGAATAGAAGATATGTTGGACTGGGCAGGTATTTAGAAACATCTTTCATTTCTCACCTACTGAAACCTTACCTTTGCTGTAAAGGCTGACTGCACTCAGCCGGAGGGCGGCTCTGGCTGCCCGTGCTGGGCTGTTTGGGCAGCCCGGCCGCTCACCGCTGCCGTGCCGCTGTTGCAGGCATTCCCCCGGACGAGAGCCCCGGGCGGGGCGGCCCCGCCGGGCCCTACGTGCAGTCGCGGCGGCTGGAGCTGTACGGGCGGGCGGGCGCGGCGCTGCTGGCCAGCGGGGCCGCCTACCGCTGCTTCTGCAGCCCGCAGCGCCTGCAGCTGCTCCGCAGGGACGCGCTGCGCAGCCAGCACACCCCGCGGTACGTGTCCCCGTGTCCCTGTCCCCGTGTCCCTGTCCCCGTGTCCCTGTCCCCGTGTCCCCTGCTCACAGCCCCGCAGCGCTGGCGCTGTCCCCGTGCCCGCAGGGGGAAGGTGTGCCATCCTGCCGAGATGAGCTGTTGGACTGGATGTGCAGTGGCAGGGTTGCAGCTGAAATTCGGGCGTCTGCTTAGAGTTTTGGGAATGTAAAAGCGTGGTGGTGCTGGGCTGTGTTGGGCAGAAAGCCTGTGCTCTCCCCCCAGCTATGACAACCGCTGTCGGCACCTGGCGCCCGCCGAGGTGGCGCAGAAGCTGTCCCAGGGCCTGGACTGCGTCATCCGCTTCCGCCTGGAGAAGGGCGTGGAGCCCTTCCAGGACCTGGTCTACGGCTGGAGCAAGCACGAGGTGGCCGAGGTGGAAGGCGACCCCGTGATTCTCAAGGGGGACGGGTTCCCCACGTACCACCTGGCAAACGTGGTCGACGACCACCACATGGGCATCACCCACGTCCTGCGCGGCACCGAGTGGCTGGCTTCCACCTCCAAGCACCTGCTCCTCTACAAGGCCTTTGGCTGGGAGCCCCCTCGCTTTGGCCACCTGCCGCTGCTGCTGAACAAGGACGGGGGCAAGCTGTCCAAGAGGCAGGGGGACATCTTCCTGGAGCGCTTTGCTCGGGAGGGCTTCCTGCCAGAGGCTCTGCTGGACATCGTCACCAACTGCGGCTCGGGGTTCGCAGGTAGCACCACGGGCTCCTGCCTGCCACGTCAGCCCATGCTGGCTTCGTGGCATGGCCTGGGCTTATGTTAATAGCTGAGAACTTTGTTGGGGTTTGAAGGGCTCAGGGAACGGGTGTCACATAAGCAGTCAGTCACTGAGGTGCCACCAGGCCTTCTGCAGAGCTCCTGCGGAAGGAGCTGGGATGGTGGGTCTTCCTGCCTTTAAAATTGAATCAGGTGCTTAATGGGTTGTCCCTTGGGAAAACCCTCACTTCAAGGCTGAGAAACTCTGTGAAGTCTTGGGAAAACTTGCATTCTGTGATTAGTAATTGCAGTGTTGTCTGACACCTGTGCCACTTTTCCTTTAACCTGACAGACCACAAGGAGCTGAGTCAATGTCTCCTTTTGTGGCTCTTGCTGTGTGGGGATCACAAATTAACTTGTGTTCTGAGAGCTCTGCTAGGGAATGAAATCTTGCTTGGGCAGTGCTCACTCCTGGCTCAGAGTGAGTTCTGTCAGGCATTCCCTGAGGAAGGCGACGGAGCCAAGCAGAACATCCCATTCCCAGTGCCTCTCCAGCACAGCAGGCTCCTGGGGACAGCAGCATGCAGCGTGTGCTGCTGCCAGTCCCTCCTGCCTGCTGGGGGACATCCCTGCTGCTGCTGGCACTGCACAGGAGGCTGTCCTGTGTCACCTCTGCTCAGCGTGCTGCCAGCCCGGCCCCGTGCCCGAGGGGAGCACAGAGCCCAGGGATTCCCTTTGCCTTGTGTTGCAGAGAAGCAGATGGGGAGGACTCTGGAGGAGCTGATCTCCCAGTTTGATGTAGGCAGAATTACAACCCATTCCGCTCTCCTGGACCTTGAAGCGCTCCCAGAATTCAACAGGTAAAAAAAAATAGTGGTAGCTTTAAAATGTAGTAAGCACTGTGTCAGTGAGAATTTATTTCTAGCACTTGGCTTTGGCTGGAGGTTTTGTTTGTTGGATCAAGCATGGTCCTGGTGCAGCAGCTGTTGGGTTTTGCTAAGAGGAAGCATAAGTTTCTGCTCACACAGTTCCTGCCTCCTCTCCCATTCTGTGCTTGGACACTGGGGTTGACAGCACTGAAAGTCTAGGCAGAGGGTGGGTGTAGCTGGGAGGATCTCAAGTATTACATTTATAACCTAAGAAAATAAGATCTAAAAAGAGTTAACACTTCCAGAAGGTTCTTCTGCAAGTACACTTGTGCTGCTAAGAGTGGCCTCATCATCAGTTCCCTGTGGGCACCAGAGCTAAATGCTTCTTTGTAGAGTGTCTGACTCTGGTTTAGTGCTGCTTTTCTAACACTTCCACAGTTTTAGCTCAGCTGGTCAGAGCATGGTGCTGAGAATGAAAGTTGTGGGTTCAGTCCCCAGATGGGCTATTCCCTTAAGAGTTGGACTGGATGATCCTTGTGGGTCTCTTCCAACTCAGAATATTCTGTGATTTCTGTGAAACGTGGTTGGGCTGATCCGAGGTAACCCAGAGCAATCCAAAAGCAGGTCTTTCCTCTGCTGCAGGATTCACCTCACCCGTCACATTGAGAACCCAGGGCTGCGCCAGAAGCTCGTCAGGGAGCTGCAGGGGCTGGTGGAGCTCGTCTATGGGGATCAGCAAGTGGATCCAGATGTTCTGGAAAATGAATATGTGGAGCGAGTCCTTCTGCTGAGAAAAGTATGAGTGGCAGCAGAGCATCCTCCAAGCTGAGGGATTGCTTCCTCCACAGCACAGCCCTCTGCCTTGCCAGCTTTGCTTTCTTCCCCCAGGGTCACATAAGCCTCCTGAAGAATCTGGTGTCGAGTGATTACTCTTACCTGTGGGTCAGGCCCTCGGTGTCCCGGCAGCAGCTACAAGCAATTTCTGCAGAAGCAGATGAAATAGGAAAACTGGTCTTAGGGTAAGTGTAGTGAGTAGTGGCAGCAATGGCTCCTCATCTCTGAAAACTGTAATCTCAGACAGTCAGAATTACTGCTTGTTCTATGGTTTTCCAGGTCTGTGGCATAATTTTGTAGTTTGAACTTGTTCTTTTGAATGAGCTCTGCTGCTGGTGAGCAGAGAGCGCCCTGGCACAGGGTCACGGGGTGAGAGGTAGGAGCCCTGTGGTTTTTCATGTCCCCAGAGTGTAAGGACACCTTCTTTCCCAAAGGCTCATGACAAGACCAGCAGCTGCCTTGACTGTGGAGGAGTTGAACAAAGACCTTAGAAGTGTCCAGAAGCAAACCAGAGAGACCAAGTACAGCAGCATGATGCAGCTCCTGCGCTTGGCGCTCAGCGGGCGGCAGGTAAAAAGAACAGTTCTGAGATTATTGCAACGTGCTTTCACAGGGCTCAAACCCAGGTTTTACAAAAGTTCTTCAAAGCCTAGTCCTGGCTCAGCTCTGGTGCTAATCCTTCCGGTCCCTCTGGCCCATTTGCCTTCAGGAGGAGAAAGCCCAAGGCTCTGTTTGAGCCGCTGCTGACCCGCAGCGCGGCAGCGGTTGTTGCAGTCCGCGATGCGCAGACTCGTGCTGGGGTTCGGTTCCTGTGCTCAGTGACTCCCTCTGTTTGCAGCACGGCCCGAGCGTGGCGGAGATGATGGTGACTCTGGGAGCTGAGGAGGCGTGTGGCCGCATACGCAGGGCCCTGTCCAGCTGACAGGGACGTGGCTGGCGCTGCCGGGCCGCGCGCTCGGATGGCGCCGGTGGCACCTGTGTCATCTCTCATCAGACGAGCTGGGCTTCGGGCCAGGCAGGTCTCTGGGCTGCTCCCACGTCTGTAGGAGCCTGCACTGGGCACAAACCACTTCGTCTGGGAGAGGAACCAAGTCCACATTCAACTCCGTCCTGCTGTCGCCTCGTGAAGGAGCCTGCTTTGCAGGGTGGGAGAAAAAGACACATCAGCATTTAAATTCAAACCATGTGGACAGAAAGTAACTGAACTTCTGAAAGCAACAGATCAGATTCTTTTTGGAGAGGGCCTTGCAGTAAGGGTACCTACAGCTACACAACACGGTTCCCCAATAAATACACTGGGGGTATTTTTATATTTGTATATATATATATGTATATTATAGCTGTTGCCCTGTTGGCTGCTCTGGGTCCTACCAGGCTGAGTGAGCTTCTCACAGAGGGGTTTCCTGTGTACTGAGTCATGCACGTGGTTCTGCTAAAAATACCCCTGATCAGGAGATTGGGCTGTTTTACCCTCTTTTGTTGGATGCCCTTTTAATTATTAAATCAACGTGGTGACATGGATTCCGCTCTCGGGGTTGCTGTGCAGGCGGTGAGGGGAGGAGCCCGGGGGTTGTGCCGAGCCCACGCCCAGTCTCTTACTTCCCCAGCAGCAGCAGCAGCAGCAGCACTCCTCCCCAGCAGCTCGGGGGGCTGGAGCCCTTCCTGGTGGGCACAGGAACGGAGCCATGGCTGGCAGCGGGCAGCTGGAGCGCTGCCTCAGTGAGTGGGGCTGGGGCTGGGGGTCGGGGCTGGCTTGGCTGCTGCTCTGCTGCCTCTCCCAACCTGGGAGGGCACTGGAGCAGCTTCACCTCGCTGGGGAAGGGGCTGCTGTCCCCACGGAGCCCTTGTGGCGCGATGTGGGTGCTGCCTTGCTGCATCTGGCTTCTTCCCATCTGTCCTGCCCCAAAGCTGGCTGAGTGACAGGCTGGGGAGTGGATAGAGCCAAAAAATACTTTTTTTCCTTAATTTAGCTGTGCTAAAGAGTAAACTGCCTCTGTTCCAGGACAGTGGTCCCGGGACAGCTGCCTGTCAATGGTTTTTAAGTTTCTCCTGCTAAAAGCAACATCTGCCGTTGTCAGGCTGTGCTTGACTTTAAGTGTGTGCTTGGGACTATGTTTTTAGGCAGACTTTAGTAACAGCTGTTTCCTGCTCGTCCTGGATCTCTCCTTTCTGCTACAGAAAGCTCTGGAGCAGCAGCTCCAGCGAGGTCGGAGCTGCTTCCTGCTCGGAGCGCTCGCTCACACTGAGGCTGGCCTTTCCTTCTTCCTCTCTTGTTTTTCTCCCTCTGTTAAGATGAGGCCACTGACCCGAGTGTCTCTGAGGAAAACTGGGAATGCATCCAGCGGTTCTGTGACCAGGTGAACGCTGACACGGAGGGGTAAGGCACACACAGAGCCCTTTGTGTTGCCAGGCTGTGTCTGGCTCTGAGCTCCCCTCGTGGCTCTCTGGGGACAGCCTGGGGCTGTGGTGTGGGGAGCTGAGGGGGCTCGCTGGGCTCCACTGCTCCTGGAAGCAGAAATGATATGGAAATAGGAGTTGGAAAGAGGTGTGTGCCAGTGTGATGGAGGGTGATGTCAGGGAATGGGCTCTGACATCAGCTGCTGGAGCCCACCAAGAGCAGGTCCTGCTGGCCATGCCTCAGGAGTCTGGCCAAGGATTCCTGCTCTGGGGTCCTGCAGGGGAGCCCCGAGGCAGCTCAGCCTCAACTTGTCCTTCCAGACAGGTGGAGGATCTCTGCTGAGATTTCCTCACCTTCCAGCTGGCAGTCTGGGCTCTGTGGGAAGTAGCAGGGACTAATCAAGCTAATGACCTGTCAAACCTTAGTGATCATCTGTGTGTTTAGAGCAGACTGAGTTCAGATCTCATAGTCTGGCACCCAGCACGTGCCCAGGAGCTGGCACAGGCTGCCCTGGCTGTCACTGAAGCTCCTGCAGCTGCAGAGCCAGCTCTGGTGCCTGCCCGGGGACACCCCCAGCCTGTCCCTGCTGCTCCCTCCCAAAGGGCAGCCCCAGGGCAGGGCTGGAGGGCAGTGCTCGGGTCACAGTTCACCCCCGTGTGTGTGCAGTGTCCCTGGCCAGCACTGTGCCCCAGGATGGCTGTCTGTCCTGCTGTGAACCCAGCAGCTGCTCTTGTGTGCAGACCCAGCCCAGCAGCATTTGTTTTCCTGGGAACTCGAGCGTGGTGTGACTTGCTTTGCTCTTCCCCAGCCCGTGGTTTGCGCTGAGGCTGCTGGCACACAAAATCCAGTCCCCTCAGGAGGGGGAAGCTCTGCACGCTCTCACAGTGAGTACTTCCATCAGCACACAAAGCAGTCACTGGCAAACAGAGCTGGCAGCCAGAGAGCAGAGCAGACAGGGTGCCTCTCTCTTCCTTTTCTCTGAGATGTCAATGTCTTTCTCTTGGATGCATCTCCATTTAACTTTCTCTTGCACAAGGAATGCAGGAACTGCTTCTGCTCCTCCCCACGCTGCTCTGCTGGGGTGTTTTGTTGGTCTGCAGCTCTGGCTGTGTGAGCTGTGTCCCACCACCAAGGCAATAGCTCAGAAGTTGGTAGTGAGGGGTAGAACAGAGCAGGTGGCCTTAAATGTGCTGCCTAGGAAAGCGGGATGAAGGAATAAAACCTGTTCTTGCTGCGTGGCTTTCTCAGTATCTTGTGTTGGTGAATGCAGTGTCAGAAAGTTCTTAGATTTAGTAATATAGTGACAAAAGTTTTTGAAAGCTCCCCAAGCCTAGTGTTTTCAGTTCCTGCTGGTAGCATTTTGTTTTCTGCAGGTGCTGGAGACCTGTGTGAACAACTGTGGTGACAGATTTCACAGTGAAATGGCGAAATTCAGGTTTCTGAATGAGCTGATTAAAGTGCTTTCCCCAAAGGTAGGTTACAGGGTGTTGGGATAAGAAATGCAGCTCTGCTTTATCAGAGGCAGTGGGGTCTTCTGGCTGTGCTCCTCGTCGTGGGGTGGGCCTGGGCCTGCCTGGAGCACCCTCTGAGCATCACACACATCGGTTTCCCTTTCTGGTGGCTCCTGCACACATTTACCACTGGTGCACGTTTCATTTTCCATTGCATCAGCCTGAGGGCAGAGCTGCAAAAAGCTGATTTCAAAGAAATGCTCAACTGAAGACCAAAACTCCTTGTCTCAGGCTTGATAACAGCATTTCAGTGAAGCCACAGACTCTAAAGCACATATCACTGAAGACAATTCTGTTTACTGCTCTGAGAGGACAGGTATCACTGAATCAGTTTGAAATGCCTGGCCTTGGGGGGGTTTGTGTTTTTATAATAAAAGGAGTGGTCATAGGCAATAATGAGAGAAGTTGGAGAAAGCACCCAGATGCTGATAAGAGACAATAATGTTTGTTTCTGGTTTTGTTCAGTTTGCCTGTGCCTGGGGCTGGCTGAGGCCAGTGCTCTGACTGCATTGCAGCAGTTAAGGGGAGTGTTTAAAGTCAAGCACAGAATGTTTTCACTAAAATATCCTACTTTGGGTTTTGGGTTCAATAACTGATCAGAGAAGTTTGAAGTGGTTTGATTGTTGTAGAATGTGTGTGTGATTCTCATACACTCCAAAGCAGTTCTTGTGTTTCCTAACCCCAGGATACAAACTGACAGCACTGTGAATAAACTCACAGGAATCCCTTTTACCCTCTGTGTCTGCACAAAAATGCCTTGGGGCTGGATCCCTGGGCCAGATCTGGCACCAGTTCTTGGGTTTGAGCTTTTTGCCTTTCTTTACTGTCTTGTTTTCAGTACTATGGAATTTGGTCTTCAGAAAAAGTCAAGTCGAGGGTCACAGAAGTGATATTCAGTTGGACAGTCTGGTTTCCTCAGGAAGTCAAAATCCAGGATGCTTATCAGATGCTGAAGAAACAAGGTTCAGTTCTGTTATTTCAGTTTCCTTTTTAGCCTCCCAAGCCCACGATTTCCCCCACAGATATCTGCCCCCCTCAGCTTGTGACTCAGCTTTTTCATGACCTGCTGTGTGTAAGGAAAAGGGACAAAGGTCCCAGGCTGGTTGGGCTCTGAAGGATGCCTGGAACTGTTTAAAGGGATTTTCCAAAGAACAGCCTTCCTGAGCCACAGCTCAGACCAGTCTGGAGGCCTCTGCTCACACTGTGGGCAGGGAGGAAGCACAGGACAGGCTCAGAAGTGATCTTTGCCCTGGAATATCTCCCAGGGTTGTGAGAGATGAGTTCAGAGGGATCCCGGGATGGATTTTTTCATCCACTCAATAATATTTAGTAGTCCTCAGTGGTATTTTAATCCAGAAATCTGGGCAAAACCTCATGCACTGTTGAGCATCGAGGTTTCAGCAGCTTGGGCATCACTGAACAACTGCTGTTACCTGTTCCAGGGATTGTAAAAGAAGATCCCAAACTGCCAGAAGACAAAATTTTACCTCCCCCTTCTCCAAGACCTCAGAATTCTATTTTTGACACAGATGAAGAGAAGTCCAAGGTAAACATTAGAGTCTTCATGCCCCACCCTCTGTTTTGTACTGATGAGAAAAGAGGCTCAGTAATATTTTGGGAGCTTCTGCTGTTTCAGAAAATCTCAGAATAATGCTGATTCCTCCTGCAGTGCAGCAGCTAGAGAACTCTCTGAAGCTCGTCAGAAATATTTCCTTAGTAAAAAGTAGAAACTTTTTTACAGAAGAACATCAGTTTCCTTGAAATCTCCCCAAGGGAGGGCTTCTCCAGGTTTCACAGCAGTTCTGTAGAGCCAGAGTTCCTAATCCTGGGCAGCCAGTGTGTGCAGGCAGCCACGTAACCTGGATTAGACTGCGGGACAGGAGCTGACATCTCTCCAGGGTTGTGGGGCCGTTGTGCAGCAGGTGTCTGTGGCTGTGAGGTGTCTGTGGCTGCTGCTCACTGCTGCCCATCTCTGCCCTGACAGGAGCTGGCCAGGCTCCTGAAGAGCAGCCACCCCGAGGACCTGCAGGCAGCCAACCGCCTGATCCAGAGCGTGGTGAAAGAGGTGGGAACTCCAGGAGGAGCCTCTGCAGCCAGGGAGGGTGGGAGGGAACCTGGCCATCCCCTTGGGACAGGAGAGCCTCTGTACTGCAGCCCCAGAGAAGGGGCTTTCCAAATTATTCTGAGATTACAGCATGAGATCATTTTGTTTTGTTGCCCTAAAATGTGCCGTTGCCAGGAAGAGGGAATTTGTGAATGTGCATACTGCAGGACACTTCTGTGTCAGTGGCACCTTGGCAGTAGTACTGCAGTAGTGGTTGGAAAATTCCAAAAATAAACTCAGTTCCCTGATGGAAAGAAGTCACTGCTGTACAGAACTGCCTCTTTTCTGCATGCAGTGTGTGTGCACGTCCGGCCTGTCTGTTTGCATGTTCCATCTGAAGGAGCATCCCACTTCTCTGCTCACAGAGGAGATTTGGTTTAACAAAGCCCTGTGGTTGTTTGGAGTGTGTCATTCTGTGTGGCAGAAGGCACCAACTCCCAGCTCAGATTTTGAGGTCACCCCCGTGCCTGTGGTGAGATGTATTCCATATTCCACAGAGCCAGGGTGCCCTGATGGGGCAGCTGGGGGCTTGTTCTCACCCGTGCTGCTTTGTGCCTTCTCTACCTGCAATAAAATATGAATAGGTGTGACCCTGAGTGCTCCAGCCAAGTCATCATCTACCTTTCTTTCATTTTTCATCGCAGGAGCAAGAGAAGACAGCTCAGGTGTCCCGGAGAGTGAACACCATCAGTGAGGTTTCTGAGAATGTCAAACGTATGGATGAGTTACTGCAGAGCTGCAGGAGAGGTGAATTATCCCCAGCTGAGCAGGAGACCCTGCAGGTAAATGCTCTTTTCCCTGCCTCTCCCAGAGGTGTGCAGGTGATGGCAGAGGCGTGGGTGGGGGTCTGAGCAGTGGAACCTCTCCTCCCCAGGCTGTGTGGCAGCGCTGTGAGAAGCTCAGGCCGCTGCTCTTCCGCCTGGCCAGCGAGGCAGTGGCTGACGAGGAGGCTCTAGGTAAGAGCCAGCACTGTCCTTGTGGCTCTGGGCAGCTGGGACAGGGCTGTGCCTGGCCCTGCGAGGGGACTGCTCGGGTGCTTGGCACCCTGTGGGCAAAGCTCTCTGCTCACCATGAAACCATGCCCTGGGAAAGTGGCATTTGGTCTCCTCCTGCTCATCTCTGAGGAAGCTGTTCATTTCCACTTGGAGCCCAAAGTTAAACAGTGAATCTCTTTCTTCAGTTGAGGTGGTTTTCTGAGGTTTTTTTCTCTGATGTTCAGAGAACTGAAGCCTTTTGAGGCCTTTTCTCTCCAGAGATTGAAGTGTAAATGCAGAAAGAGGAATATATTTTGAATTTTTAGGTGTAATACCAAGGAAGGTGTCCTGGCTTCAGCTAGGGTAGAGTTAATTTGGTAAAAGCAGAATCTTTGAACTCCACAATTGGCATTTCATTCCAAGGTCCATACACCTTGAAAATGTGACTGCAGCAATGGTTGCTGAACACACATCCTAAAGAGCAACCCCAGGAGCTCAACTGCACCTCCCTCCTTCCTTTCATACTGTGGGTGCCATGGCTCTTCAGCTGGGCAGTGCTGGATTACAGACTGAGGTGCACAGGGAAAACTTGTGGCGAAAAAGACAGTGCAGAAGAGATGGCAGGAATTAGGAACACTTTAGAGATGGGATAGGATTTCAAAGGGATCTTGATAAACGAGAGAGAGGCCTGGAATCAGCAGCTGTGTGTGCAAAATGGAATGAAAGGCAAGTGAGGAGCTGAGGGCAGCCTGCTCTGCTGGCCTTTGCTCCTGAGCTGCACTGTCCCTTCCTCATGGGCATTTTGGGGAGTGCTGTGGAACTGAGCTGACCTTCCTGCTGGAACTTGAGTTTTTATCTGCTCTGGTTTCCCAGCTGAGATCCTGCAGGCCAGTGACGAGCTCTCGCGGGCGCTGGGGCAGTCCAGGCAGCTTGTGGCCAGCCAGGAGGAGGGGGATGGAGCAGGTTCAGCTGCCAGCTCTGCCCGTGCACCAGGTGAGAAGCCCCCACAGCATTCCATGGCAGCTCTGCCCTGCATGCCAGCTGGGAGCAGGGTTTGGCAGGGAAGCGCTCCTCAGGGAACAAACACGGAGAAAGTGCTGGAACAGGAAAAATATTATGCAACCATCATTTTCTCTTGCCTACAGTTGACAGCAAATGTCCCCAAGTTCTCTGCCCTTCGGGCACAGCTGTAGCCTGGATGTGCCATCCTCTGCAGAGGTCCTGGCTAACCCTGTCTCTGTTCCCCAAGCGTGCCGAGCAGCCCCGCGGCGCACCAAGAGCTACACCCTGATGGACTTCTCCGAGCTGGAGGCCGCGGCCCAGGGCCCCCCAGAGCCCTCTGCAGACACAGCCTCAGCCCCCTGCCACGGCAGCACAGCCTCCAGCTGCCTGCTCCAGGAGGAGCTGCAGTCCTTAGGTCTGTAGGTGCATTCAGTGTCGCCCTCCTTACTGGGGTTCGTGCTCTTCAGTAAAGAGGGGAGAACTTTGACTTCGCTGTCAGTCCCAAGAGGAAGCAGAACCTTCCAGATGGAAGTTTTCAGGGATGCAGTGTCTCCAGTGGGGTTAGACAGCAAAGGAAGCAGCTGTGGAAAACATCTGTTTTCTGTAAATTATCTGTGGCATTTGGTGTCTTTCTTAGGTCTCAGCAGCTCCCCTGTCACACAGAAACCACCCCCTGATTTTGGCCTAGCAGAGGTGAGTGATGCTCAGGTACTTTGCAGTCTGTAAGGAATAAAGGACAAAAATCAGAGATGATTCCTGGTCTGCCTTTCCCTAGCAGCCCTTTTGGTGTTCACTCTGTTCTGAAGGGAGACTGGAATCCTTGTGCTCTCAGTCTCTCAGGTGCAGTTTGCAACCAAATGACTCATGTATTTCTGCTTTAGGTAGTGGTGTTTGATAAACAGACTTCTCAGTGCAACAGGCTTATTTTTGCTGCTATGATACAGCATGAACCTGAAGGGCCTTGTTTTCCAGCCTGCTGTACACAATGGATTTAGGGAAGGTGTTAGTGCTGTTCAAACCCTGGGACCACAGGAGGGCTGGGAAGACAGCTGTGCAGGGAAGAGTGAATTCCAGAGCCTGGCTGAGCAGCTCTCTCCACCATCCAGGACCAAGACATTCTCTTTGTAAGTAAACTCTTCATAATAGAGTCAGATTTTGGGGCTGAGGAATTCTTTTACAGCAGGGAGATTTAGGAATGACTTTCAGCTACCTCTGGTTAGTGATGGCAAGTGATCCATGCACACATTGGCTCTTTCCTGCAGTTCTGCACTGGTTAATTGCAGTTAATTGCACACCAGGACCTTCCAAGGGTCAGAAATTTGGGGAGACAAATCCCATTGGTTGATAACAAGGTGATGTTGAGCTAAAAGAACAAAAACCTTATGGTCAGGCCTTTTTATAATAACTTGTCACTCAAAAGATACTTTCCTCAGCTTTCTCCAGACTGTGACAAGGTAGTTTCCAGACATTCAGTGGAGGCTTGGAACAGTTCACAAATCAAATTAATCTCCACAGATCTTCAGAGCAGGAGACTATTACAATATGCTTATACAGTCTGCCATAATACAAGAAACTTTACTGAAGATTTTCAGCTTCCTGCGATTCTTTGAGCTGGAATCTACTTTGATCTGCCTGACTAGGGCTCCAGAGAAGCTGTGCACAGGGATGGCAGACTTCCAAATCCCTAAACCTAAGTTTTACCATAGTAACAGAACCAAAATCTGCCTTAATGAATTTTGAAACAGCAAGATCTTCCATAGATGATAGAGTTTTAGAATTCCTCAAGGACTCAGAGTGTAAGTCTGTAGTTTCTTTGTAACTAAAGGGGATGAGGGATTGGGGATACAGACAGACACAGCAGAAGACAGTATATTCCCTGTAGAATCCCCACTTAATGCAAGCTTTCTGCATGCTTTTCTTTCCAGGGATTTATCACCAATGACATTGCCCTTCCCAGATGTTCCAAGTAACTCAGTGGCAGATCCTCCACTCCTCAGTCCAGGCTATGATCTGAAGCCTGCTGCCTCTTTGCATCCAGCTTCCTGTGATGCTTCTCTAGAAACCCTTTTTGTGCCTTTAGTTTCAGTTACACCAAGTAAGTACAATTCTGTGTCCCAGCTCTGCTGACTAGAGTTTTTCCATGAGTTTGCAGGACAGGAAGCCAAAGTAGCTTCATGCTGTCTGGATTGCTGGAGACAAGTAATGACTGTTCTGTGATGGGCTTGATGTACCTGAGAATTTGAGTAGGTGCCGTTTGATCATGGCATTACAATGTCCTCGTCCTCATTGCTCAGGAGTTTTCTACCCTGGCTGATCTTTGTAATGTGCTTCTAAACCCTGTCCTTTGCACCTTCAGTCAAGCTTCAAACAGTTGTTCTACTAAAATTCCTAAAAATCACTTTTGAGTGGGAGTTGCCCCACTTCCTAAAGCAGGAAGCTTTTCATTCCACCTTTGCTTTTTGGTTTCACACTGTATGGCCCAGCTCTGCAGCTCCTTCCCAGAGCATTTCCTGGGAATGTCACCCTGGGGTCTCAGCCCGGGGCCACAGAGCCTTGGCTCTCACTGCTGCTGGAAGAGGACAGGTGCACAGACATCCTGATCTGCCTTCAGACTCAAGTGAAGGTCTCAGCAGATTGTGGAAGGGCTGGATGCTGATAGTCAGGTGTGAATTTGTGGATGGTAAGGAGCCAAATCTTGTGTGTGCTCGGAAAGGCACTTTGCTCTTCCCACCATGTCTCTGTTGGATCCACACCTCACTTCTCTCAAGGACTGCTGAAACCTGAGCTGCTAAATCCCAAATGCAGACATTCAGATTCCTGTCTCTGCCTTAGAGGCAGATGTAAATCAGGGCTGTGTGCCACTTGGTCTGTGGGTTTGCCAAAGGAAGTGAAAGTTCGTCTGCATTTTCCTTTTTGCTATTCCTCATCCCATCTTCCCTGTTCACCCTCAGATGGGAGAGGAATCCAGGCTTTGATTCTGGTTCTCGATTTGTCTCTGGCAGGCACTATCTGCCCACTCACTGTGTATGACAGGAATGGTTTCAAGGCCATGCTCCACTTCTCCAGAGACCCGGCTCCCGGCCGACCAGACGTGCTGGTGATGGTCCTGTCCATGCTGAGCACCTCAGCACACCCCGTTAGGGACATAGTGTTCCAGGCTGCAGTCCCAAAGGTGAGAAGCCTGTGGCAAGTAGCAGAGAAGCTCAGAAATGTCCTGAGAAGAAGGTTCACCACTTCTTACTGAGCATTTGCCTTGCTCATGGGAATGGTGTGGCTCCCTGTTGTATGGAGATCCTTTTGTACAGTGGTGCCTTTTTCTCAGTGTCCATGGCCTTGCTAGGGCCAGAGGGCTCCAGAGCTGCTGCTTCAGCCTCCTGGGTAGGGCTCCTGTTCCCTGTACACGTGTAGCATGGAACTGCCTGTTTAGGAATATCTGCCTTCAGTTGCAGGCTGTGCTTTTCACTGAATGAAGAGTCTGGCTGATGTATCTTTAACCAGCTCCATGGCTCAGTGAGGCTCACAGCCCTTTCCCGGCATGGGCTAACAAGTGTTTGTTTTCTCTTTCAGACCATGCAAATAAAACTACAACCAGCCTCTGGCTGTGAGCTGCCAGCCTTCAGCCCTCTCCTCCCGCCCGCAGTGCTGTCCCAGGTGCTGCTGCTCGCCAACCCACACAAGGTGCTGCTGCTGGGCACTGGGAGTGTTTGCGTGGAAGAGAGGGAGACTCTGTGTAGTGGAGAGACAGGGCAGTCAGGACTGTGCTGGGAAGGTGTTTTTTCTCTCAAAGGGCTTTCCAGAGCTACACTCCAAAGGACTGTGTGGGCAGTTGCTGCAGGAGCCTGCACAACTGCGGACTGTCTGCACACAGACACAGCTGCAGGCACCCAGGGCAGGTGCTGGCAGCTGATGGAACACAGGGGTGCCCAAGGCACAAGCCATGGGTGGCAGATATTTTGCACTGGTGGATAGTTATGAGACCCAAGATCAGTGCAAGGAACTCTGAGTAGGCCAGGCCTGGATTGCCAACATGCCCATGGGTGGCGTGCACAGGTCTTCCAGTTGCTCTTGTCTCTCTTAGGAAGATCCAGGGTTTCCTTCTGTGCAGAGCTTCTGCAAGGCTGCCGTTTCCCCTTTCAGAGGTGACCCACTGCATAAGGCCAGGGGTTTATAATCACGGTGTGCCCTCTCTTCCTTTCTCTCCCAGGATCCCATCCGCCTGAGGTACAAACTGACGTTCACGCAGGGCGGGCAGCCGTGCCGTGAGGTGGGAGAGGTGACTGGCTTTCCAGAAGCAGAGCTCTGGGGCAGGAGCTGAAGTCCAGCTGGCTCGGACGCTGCTGTGTTCTGGGGAGCGACTGGGGCGCAGCAGTGCTCCGTGAGGGCACCTTTCCTGGGGCTCTGCCACCTCCTTCTCCTTTCGTGCCCGGCAGGAGGAGCGTGGGCTGGCTGCTTCTGCCACAGCCTTTCCTGTAGCTGAGCCTGCTTTCCAGGAGCCTGCTGGAGAGCACTGCAGCTTCTGCCATGCACACCTTCCCTGCTGCTTCTGGCCCATCTCCCCTTTACTTTTCAATTAAAAAAGAAAAAACCCAACAAAGTGAATCGACACCAGCATTCAGCCCCCGTGCCAGCCTGTTCCAGGGACACCCCGGCCCGCTTTCCCCGGAGCCTGTGCCCGGTGCAGCGGGGAGCTGAGGGGCGGTGGGCGCCGGTACCGGCAGCGCTGGGAGGGAGCGGAGCCGTGCCCGGGGCGGGTACGGGGCCGGGGGCCGCGGGGAGGCCCTGCCGCGCTGCAGGCCCGGGCCCGGGGCCGCGGGGAGACACCGGCCTCGGCAGGGGCGGGGGGCGGCGGGAACCCCGGGCCCGGGCCGCGGGGCCTCGGGCCTCGGCTCTCGGCCGGGGACCGCCCCGGGACCGCCCGGGCGCCGCCCCGGGACCGCCCCGCGTTTCCGGGTGCCAGCGGGGCCGGGCCGCAGCCGCTCGGGCTGTCCCCCCGCTGTCCCCCGCTGTCCCCCCGCGATGGACTTTTCGCGGTTCCTGTCGGACGAGTTCGAGGTGAAGGGCTGGGTGAACGCGGCGTTCCGCGCCGTGCAGCAGGAGGCCCCGGGCAAGGTGGACGCGCACGCCGCCACGCTGGTGATGAAGCTGCAGCTCTTCATCCAGGAGGTCAACAACGCCGTGGAAGGTGCGCGCGTCGCGGGCAGGGCTCGGGCCGGCCTTGGCGGCCGCGGGTCGGCTCCGCCCGGGAGCTCGGCGTGTCCCCGCGCCTCATCTTCCCCGGGCAGAGCCGTGCAGGCCGCCCCGGGCCACGTCGGCGATCCCGGCCCGGCCCGAGATGGGGATCCTCGCACCCCGCTCGGGTCTCGTAGCTGTTCACCATCGCATCTGCCTTAAATGCTGGGAAACAGCAGCTGCTGCCAGCGCTGCGTTAGATGGGGTGACAGGGTAAATGTCTTCAAAAGGGTTGTGCTGGCTGCCCAGGGCAGTGTTGGAGTCCCTGGAAGGATTAAAAAGCCGTGTGCATGTGGCACTTGGGGACATGAGTTAGTGGTGGCCTTGGCAGTGCTGGGGGAACAGGACTGGACTGTTGGGAACAGTTGGACTTGATGTTCTCAGAGGGCTTTTTTACACCTGAATGATCCCATGATAAAATACGTACTTAAAGTTTAAAGATACAGCTGAAGGTTTGTTTGATGTTTTGCTTTGTTTTTTAGCGTTGGGTTTTTTCAAATGCTAAAGGTTAGATAAGATTATTGAAAGACTGCCTGTTCCTGCAAGGGCTGTCAGCCCTCCTCACTGACAGCTCCGTGTTCCTGCAGAAACGAGCCATCAGGCTCTCCAGAACATGCCCAGAGTCCTCCGGGAAGTGGAAGTCTTGAAACAGGAGGCAACATTCCTGAAGGAGCAGATGATCCTTGTTAAAGAGGATATAAAGAAGTTTGAAGAAGACACAGCTCAGTCCATGCAGGTCAGTTCTTTGTGTTTATCTGCAACTTGTGAAATTCTAAAAGTTACAGAGTTGCTCACTTGAAATAGTCTAGTGAACTTAAGGTAGGCAAAACCACTTTTAACATCAGAAGTGGAAAGGTGGGTGTGACACAGCTGTGCAGTCTGCATGTCCTGAGGAGCAGCTGCTCAGGCGTCTGTTCAGAGCTGCTGGGGACACTGGGTTCTGCCTGGGGTGCACAGCATTTTCAGGCAAAGTGGATACTAAAAGAGCAAGACCAGAATTCAAACTAACCTGTTATTTGACTTGGAAAGATGATTTTACGTCTCTAGCTCCTCCAAACCATTCCATCTTCTTGTAGTAATATGATCTTTTCACGCCTTTGTGTTTTTTAAATTTAAGCAGAAGCTGACTGCCAAGTACCTGTGAGAACCATTTTTTGTTTCAGTGGGGAACGTGGTGTTGTGGTTTTTTGGCAGGTCCTGGTAGAGATTGACCGGGTCAAGTCCAGGATGCAGCTGGCTGCCGAGTCACTTCAGGAAGCAGACAAATGGACCACACTGAGTGCAGATATTGAAGAGACTCTTAAAACACAGGTAAATGCTGGATTATTTGGTATTTGTGCCTCCAGCTTTCCAGGGAGCTGCGTTTAAAACTCGGGTTTTGAGGTGACTGTGGCACACGTCCCTGGTGCTGGTGCTGTCTGAGGTTGCCCTTGGTGACAGGCTGCCTTTCCCTGCTGGCAGGACGTGTCCCTGATCTCAGCCAAGCTGACCAGCATGCAGAGCAGCCTGGCCATGCTGGTGGACACGCCGGATTACTCAGAGAAGTGTGTGCACCTGGAGGCACTGAAGAACCGCCTGGAGGCCATGGCCAGCCCCCAGATTGTTGCTGCTTTTAACTCCCAGTCTGTAGGTCAGTAGCTCCCGGTGTCATTTGCTGTCAGCACTGAGTTTGTTGTCTTTAAAACAGTTTGGGTGGAGAGTTGGTGCCCTGAGGCTCCTGGCACTGGGTCCTGAGCTTCTCCTGGTGGAGCAGATGCCCTGGAATGTTTTGGGCTCTGCAGCTGCCTGCAGGCCAGTGCTGCTTTGATTTTCCTACGGTTTGGGGTACCTGTGGACTGCAGGAAACAAGAAGATTACAGGATTTTATGGGCCACATGGATGTGGGAGATGGAGGTACTGCTCAAATAAGCAGAAGGGCCTTGGCTTTCTTTTTTTTTATCATGGTGTTATTGGTGTAATGAGGAAGGAAGTTTGTTTGGAAGCGTTCTGACTTCCTACTACTTTGTAAAAGCAGCTTTGCAAATTCTCCTTAGAAAACTGGTCTTTTGGACAGTTCTTTGTGCTGTTCCTTCCTTGTGCTGCTGTCAGTACTTCTGAAAAGTAGTTGTTCTGGTTGTTGACACTCATCTCTGTGCACCTTGAAGTCCTGGAGGGATCTGGGTCTATGGGGTACAAACCAGACTTTGGGGGAACCTGTGTTTCTAAGCCCTGTGCAGGAGCAGCTGTGCCATGAGTCAGCCTGAGGCACAGGTGTCATTTTGAGGACAGGTGAAAGCAAAGCTGAGGCCTTTGTCATGTATGCTTTAGGTTTGTAAGTGCTGGCTTGTTTCTAGAAACTAATTATTTCCTTCTAGGAAGTGCTCTGGCTTTAATACTGGATGTGTTAGCACTATGTGCAGGTTAGGAAGTTAAATTCATTCCGTGTGCGTGCTGATCTTGTTTGAGGTGGGTTTCAGGCGGTTCTGCTCTTGTTTGAGAAGATAAGCAAACAAAGATGAAGTTGTCTCTTTCTGTGTAGACCATTGTGCCTGCTCCCTTGTAAGAGGAGTTCTTGCTCAGACTGATGGCTCACCCTCAGCTTTGAGGCTGATCCTGATGCCTGTTATTTTGTTTTCTTTAGATCAGGCAAAAATGTTTGTTAAAGTCTTCACTGAAATTGATCGGATGCCCCAGCTTCTGGCTTATTATTACAAGTGTCACAAGGTAAGTGTTTTGGTAACGCTTCAACGCTGAGGAATGGCAGTCGGAATTCTTGCTGGGCTCTGACTGCAGAGGGAGCTGCTGCCCCACGGATCTCAGCTGTGCTCTGCTGGGGGATGGCACCTGTTCCTCTCTGCATTTCCTTCTCTTGCTGGCTCTGAGCAGCTGTGGCTACTCCCCGTGTTGCAGGAGTAGTTCTCCATTCGGGTCCTTGTCCCTTCCTGCAGCAGACACAGGCTGTGTGTTCTGCTTGATTTCTCTGTGCCTCATGGTTTTGCTTTGCTGTGGATGTGGCCATGTCAGCAGTAACTTTATTACTGCAACTTGCCAGCTGCTGATTTCTGTAAACTCTTTTCAGGTAAGATTAAAAGTTGGAATTCCAGACAGTTCTGTAGCCATAACCTGAGCTTCAAATTTCTCACATGACTGTGACTTTTGAGGATTAAGTTCAAGGCTGGGGCTTGCCAAGTATTTCAACTATTATGTGGGGGTATCAGTTGCAATCTCATTTTATGAGTAAAATACCAATGTTAATTAAATCTTCGAATCACTAAGAAGCTGAAAGTCTTTTCCTTCTGTGGTGCTGAATTATATGTAATGCTGAAACAGGGAGAGGGGCACGAGGGGGAGCCTCATGTTTTGGCAGAAGTGCTGTGCATGGGGAGTGCTGGGTTTGGCATAACAAAAGCATGACCTGTGGCCTGTCAGTTTTCTTCTCAGATGGTTCTGTTCCCCATCAGGTGCAGCTGGTGGCCCTGTGGCAGGAGCTTTGCCAGAGTGACTTGAGCTTGAATCGCCAGCTGACCGAGCTGTACGACACCCTCCTGGGGACCTGGCACGCCCAGCTGCAGTGGGCAGCGCAGGTGCAGTGACAGGGGTGGGACAGGGCAGGGCTGGGCACCCTCTGAATCCTCACAAAGCCTTGCAGAGCTCAGGGCTGCTCAGCCTGGCTTCCACTCTGGGCCTGGCTGGTGCAGGATGGGATCTGCAACCCGCTCACTGCTCCTGGTCCAGCCCTGCAGACGGGATTTGAGCTCTGGTGTTCCACCAGCAGCAAGGTTGCCGTGTTATTGACATTAAAGCTGCTCTATCACTTTCATCTGTATCTTAAGTTAAAACTAATTTGTTGGTGTTGTAAATGTGTTCTGTTGCAAGGCATTTGAAATGCCTGAATTGCTTTATCCCTTGGCCTGGAGGAAGCCCTCAAGGTCACGCTGGACTGATGCGTGTTGCTCTGTGTAAGATGTCTGAGGGCTTCTGCTGTCACCCCTTGGAGTCTGTGTGCTTGTTTTCCCTGCCAAGAATCACGTAGGATCAAAAAAAGTTTTTGTCCTTTGGTAAAATGAAGAAATAAGTTCATATTGTTGAAGAGTTTTTCATCCATGAAGGGTAAGAGATTGTTATCTTCATGTGACAAAGCCAGTGTCAGTGCAAGGCCTGTGCTGCAGAGGAGCTCAGTGTTTCCTTGAAATGTATTTTTTCTGCCTAATGATTCGATGTGACTTACAGGTCAGATGTCAGGTTACATTTTAGCAGATATTCTTTGAACTGGGGATTGTGAGAAATGGCACGTGGGGCACGGCTCATGTCACTCAATCTCCTGTGTTGCTTCTGCTTACTGGAAAACTCTTGGACCTTTTTGATGGTAAACCCAGCTTTCAAAGCAAATG